TTTTTTTTTTTTTTTTTTTTTTGTGGTTTGTTGATCTTTATTTTGTGTTTGTTTTCCTTCTTTCAATTTGTTCGAAATGAAACTAGGCTCAGATCCTTCTTTTTTTCTTTGGTAAATAGGAAAGGAGAAAATTTATATTATCACTGCGGGACCTCAGTTACAATTATAATATCGTTCTTTTGAAATGTATCTTCTCTTTATGATTTCTTGAGATGCTAATGAGGGGTCATATATAATTTACTAATCATTCATTTGCTCAGCAACCAAGGTATGTAGATCCTCTTAACGTGACAGCTATGGCTTGCCCAGCCATGCCACTCTGCCCTTTGGCCATAACAGAAGCTGAGCGTGGAATACCCGACATCCTTAAGCGGGTCCGGGCTGTATTTGAGAAGGTTCCAATCTATCTCTTCATTCTTGAAAGAAAAAGAACAGTTCTCCTTGAAAATCACAAAATCTTGAAATTACAAACACCCCATTAGTTTCTATAAATATCAAATGAACGTCCCATATAAGGAAACTTAAGAGGATGCTTGGGTACAAAATTTCTCAAAAAAATCCAAACATTTTTAACTCAACCACTTTTTTTACTCTTTTATACCAGACGTTACGTTGGGTAGTTTTTGTAATCAAACATTAGCTATGATAAGACAATTGTTGACATTGTATTTCTAGGTTGGTCTCAAGTATAATGAATCTGTGGTTATAAGGATAACTGGTTGCCCGAATGGTTGTGCTAGGCCATACATGGCTGAGCTTGGCCTTGTTGGTGATGGTCCAAATAGTTATCAGGTAAAAATGAGTTTCTTCTTTGAAATTTTAATTAGAACCCCTGGTGAAAGACTTTGACCATGACTGAAAATGGTTCTTTTATTGTTTGCAGATTTGGCTTGGAGGGACGCCCAACCAAACTATACTGGCTAGAGTTTTCAAGGATAAGGTTAAAATTCAAGATCTCGAGAAGGTTCTGGAACCTTTGTTTTATCACTGGAAGAGCAAACGGCTTTCTAAAGAATCATTCGGCGACTTCGCAAACCGTGTGGTACGCAATTATTTGGATTAATGTTACATATGTTTATTATGATGGCGTTCCAAAAACGTCATATTTTTTTATAAATGATAGGATATTTTGGAACACTATGCTTGAGGTGGAACCCAGTTATTGATAAATATATGAACCTAATTATCCCCTAAAAAAATTACAAAAACCACCTTGATACCACCTTGATTTTTGTTTATGTGCTAGACATCACTCTATTGAGTGTGTTTTTGTACAAGTACAAACTCAGCATTTTCTATATTTCTTGTTTTGGTAATATAAATAGATAACTGAATTTTTAGTGATTAATGAAAATTGCTGTGGTTGTAAATGTGTTTTCTTTTATGAATCTGAAAGACATATTAACAAATTAATAACCCGCTGCTATTTATTTAATTAGGGCAATGAGAAACTCCTAGAATTGGTGAACAAGTGGGAAGGTATACCAGTTAATGCATCAAACTACAACCTAAAGCTTTTCTCTGACAAAGAAACTTACGAAGCGATGTACGCCCTAGCCAAGCGCCAGGACAAGACTGTCTATCAGCTTTCCATGGAGGTAATACGCAATTATGTGGCCTCCCAGGAAAATAGTAAAATCGAGTGAACAACTCTCAAGGATTGAATTCCGTTATCTTCCTTGCTGAGCTGACTCGAGCATGAAAATAACTTAAATTGGTTGTTACCCGTCGGTAAACAGCTGTTGGACTTGGTCAAAATGCCGTAGCATGTTGTATCTAGATTGCGGGTGTTTTTTGACCCTTTTTTTTTGTTTTATTGTCTGAGTGTGTGTTTTCTTGGCATTATAAGGAACTTTCCGGAACTTGTGTGATTGGCTAAGAGGCTTCCATTAAGGTTTGCAATGCAGGCTTAATCTTTGGTGGATCTTGCCCACTATTTTGTTGGTGACATTGCAAGCTTTGTGAAATTTTCTTACAATTGAAAAGCATTCACATGGCTATGTAATGCTGTTGCTGCCCAGGTGATGTGAAATCTTGAGAAGAGATTTATTTTTTAACCGATTTTTTAGTTTGATGAAACAAGGTGGTTTGTCATTTCTTAACCGAGGCTAGTGGGCTGATGTGAAAATGTTGCACTTTGATTCTTGTGCTTGGAATTGCTCATGTGTAAGTGTACAAGTGAAGCTTGATTATTACTGACAACGCAAAATCAACGTTGTACTTTAGCTGAACTGAACGTATTAATGATGGCCGAGAAATCCTAAAAGCCACGGGAATTTATATGATCCTCATCTGGAGTGTTATAGGATCGTCTTTGGAATGCTTTCTGCATCGTATGTGATATCATTTAGAGTTTTTTTCTCACATGTATGTGAAGTTAGGCTGGACAAATGAAACTCTCGACTTAGGTTGACGAATGCCACATTGTTTGGTTTAGGGCATCCGTTGACGAATGCCGCATTGTTTGGTTTAGGGCATCCGCATCCGATGCCATTCATTACTTTCTTTCATTCACATCATGTCTATAGCTTCGTTAAAAAATTAAAATATATGAAGTAAAAATAAGTGCAAGATAAATAATATTTTTAATTATTTCGGCCCTACGTTTTCTTGTTTTTATGTCATTTAATGGGATGAATGACAAATGTGGGGCTCACTAGTTTTGACATCAAATGATGACATGCATTGGTTTAAACTTTAAATAGGGCTCGTTAGTTGTGACATCAAGATAAATAAATAAGTATGTTTGAATTTCAAATTCTCAATTTGTTATGAACAACATTCTAATTAGTAGGGTATACAAACTTATCATATTTATTTATTTATTTTAGTGCAAATCCTATACTCCCAAACATGCGCAATTTAAGGGATCCTAGACACTCATACATGCGCAATTTAAGAGACCGTTAATCTGATTTATTTGTTAACTGATATTTGCTTCTTTCACAAATAAATGTAATTCATTTGGTAAGGATGCAAATAAAATCTCACCCTTCGCACAAATAGAAATACTTTAAAATCAGGTGTCAAGCAGAAAATTTCGCCAAAATATTAATGTATCCCATAAACATTATGTGAAAATAACAAATTATGCATCCTAATAACAATGAACACAAGTATAATAGAATAATACTTGAGTTAGAAAGAAAATAAAATAAGATGAATGAATTATGTAATGGAAGTTGAAATGCTTCCAATTGCATCCTAAATAACAATGTAGGTGGTGGTAATAATTTTTTTTTAGGTGGTGGTAATAATTAAGGATTTGGCATTGGGAAAACGAAACCCGTGCCAAGTAATATCCAACAAAAAAAACCCCTTAACCAATCCAAACAAA